CATAATCAGTGCAAATCAATGATCATATGGAGATTTCAAAATATTGGCAAGGGACATTGTCTACTCTGCAGCAATCTTGTTATATGAATTTTTCTTATGCCTATAAAAAAATTTGATTTTCAATCTTGTACACATATAATTATAAATATATTCATAATGAAATAATAAAATATCATTAATAAATGAATGTTTTTGCTAAGGACCTAATCAATAGAATGGAAACTTGGAATTTAACAAAGAGACAACCTGATCAAAGAGCAGAAAACAGCCCGAGGCCACCAATGGGTCTTGAATGTAGAGAGAATATCATACAACCGGAGGGGGATTCAGCTAGCCCCTAAACAATAATGTATACTAGTTCAGCAAAATGGACGCTACACAAACATATAAATGAACCAAAATTAAAAAAACCCACAAAAGACTAACACAGGCTAGAGGTTCCCCAACTTGGGACAGGCGCAAAAATGTAATGGGGTTAAACATGTTTTGTGAGATCTCAACCCTCCCCCTTAACCTCTAGCCAATGTGGAACAAATTTAAATAAATAATGACAATCATTTTGATCCAATTATTATCTAAATATCATTGATATTCCATTATGGGTTACTACCTAAGTTATAGGTCTAAACACAAAACTTTTACCAGTCTTTTCAGAAGTAAATACTAGTCAAGTGACCAAAACGTTGCTGAACTATGATGCATTGTATAATTGTGTTAAAGTTGTAAAATTTATTAATTTGTCACCAAAAACATATTGCCTTATCTCTCTTCATGGATTCCTAAACACGAAAGTTAATCAAATCAGTCAAGTACAAAATGTAGGTCAAGGTGATTCACTTATTGTATAAATATGTTCGAGAATCAAAACTAAGATCTTGTGTCTGAGAAATGACACGAACAAAAAATTTACTTAATTCCTGATTAACCTTTTTCAGTCAATGGTACATCTTTAGACTCCAGCCACATATAAATGCACAGAAGAAATTTGAAATAAAAATTCAATGATGAGACCACATCATGAACAAATATCTCAGTAAAAGTTGATCTATTTTCAGATATAGAAGCAAGAAGCCAAAAAGAATCAAGGTTGACTAAGCTTCCCTTTGAAGAGGATACTTATATGTATAAGATTGTATTACCCTTATAACTAGATCATACATTTGTACTTTTATCTGGTATTTCCTCCCTGCACATCAATTCTTCATTAAAAAGAGGTCTGCCTTGAAAAGTCTAGCCTTGTTTACTGATCATGATTGAAATTCATGTTGAAAGTCTTTAAGATAAGTTTTTCTAGAGCTATAAAATAAACTTAATGTTGACCAATGAACCATGAAAATGAGGTCAAGGTGAGATGCTTTCTGCCAGACCATTAAAATAATTCATAAACCAAATAAGGTGGACCTATTTCTTATGGTATCAGAGAAATGGATGGAACCAAGAAAACTTAATGTTGACCAATGAACCATGAAAATGAGGTCAAGGTGAGATGCTTTCTGCCAGACTGAAATGTATACCATTAAAATAATTCTATACAAATAAGGTGGACATATTTCTTATGGTATCAGAGAAATGGATGGAACCAAGAAAACTTAATGTTGACCAATGAACCATGAAAATGAGGTAAGGCCAGAAAAACCTTGCAAGAAAGACATGTACAGCTAACAATCACTCCAAATATAGTTGATTAATTTCTTATAGTATTTGAGAAAATGAGGTCAAGGTCAAAGATTCGCATGTTTTACGTTCTGTGACTTTCACAGCAAGCAAGACAAAAACTGTTGAATGTATCTTTCTTTAAAGAGAAAACCTGTTCAGAACTTACTAAGTTTGCATTTTAAGCTTAATTGATTCAGCTGTGTTACCATAAGAGTATTGATTATCATGTAGCAATATAATTTTAGATAAGATATGAGGTAAATGTTTTACTAGCCTGTATCTTATAGTATATAAAATTGTGTCAACATTAATAAAATTATCCCATTTCCAGATTTGCTGCTATATAAGAATTTCAAAGACTTGTTAAATTATCACACAAAAATATCTTTCTTTTTTATACATGTAGTACATTACTCTTGAAAAGGAGAGTTCTATCTGACAAAATCAAACAACTTGTATTTAATGGTCTATGATATTGAGTTAAATCAAATAGAATTGAGAAAGTAAAAAATTGTTTGACAGACTGACAGACAAATGGACATAAGGATCCCTTTGTGCAATCTCATAGTAAATTTCTCATTGTAATTAAGGATTTTCAGAAGAGGGAAATCATGGAAATGGGGATTTTCTCTAGTACATGTATTCAAATATAATTGTTGGAAACCAACATATTTTCACAGATTTTTTTCAAATTTTGTTGATGTGTTCATAAGATGTTTTTTCATATAAGCGCTTATTCAAATTCAGATTTTTGTTTCTACCATTAAAATTCCTGTTAATAAATTGTTCACAAAAATAAGTTGCCTTACAGACTTCATGAATTCTTTGATTTTGAAAAAAACTGATTAAAAATTTTTAAGTCCCTGTTTAAATGTTATCATAAATTGTCTAAACTTTAGAGCTTGACATATGGTTGAAACAATTGCCTCATAATGTACCATTTCATGTCATATCCTGTTTCATTGTACTGATTGGTTGCTGTCTGATTCACATCTACTTAGTATATATTTTATTCATTTTCAAATGTTAAAAATACTGAACACATTTTATAAAACTTGTCAAAACTTTCTAACAAACATGTCATAAAATGCAGAACTCATAGTCACATTTGAAAACTTTTGCAAGTTACAAAAAAATGAAGAGCTGTGCCATGACCGCAGGATATGCCTGTCGCCCTTTTAGTTTTGATGATTTTTCAACAAATAAAGTTAGATAACTTCGCAATGTCATATCAGAAATTTATAACAAAACAAAAGGAAGCTTATTTCAATAGATATAAACAAGTCACCATAGCTTCATGAAAACTGCTCAATATGTTTTTGAGTTGTTGTTTGAAAACTGGAAAATCCCCACTTTATCTGAAACGTGAAATCTAAAAATTAAAAAAATTGTACGTCAATAGATATTAAACGGATAGTAGCTACGATTTTCATTAAAATTATTTTTCTAATCTATATGCCGGATTTTGTACAAAAGGTTTATTTAGAATGAATAAAACCATCACTGTTTACTTTCCAATTAGCATTTAGAAGCTTTTTAACGTTTTACACCTGAATTTAATTTTTGTCTATATAATTTTTGTCTATAGACAAAAATTCGATGTTAAGCCAACCCTTATTCATATGACTATGTTAACTCCGCAGTTCCCAATGCGCAATCGCAAGTTGTCCCTCGAAGGGAAAATGTCGAACAGAGGAATGTTATCGCGGAAATGGAACGTGTGTTTACAGTTTCTGCGAGAAAAAGAAACAGTAAAGAGGTGCAGACAAGTTATTGTAAATTGAAAATAAATAACGGCGATGAGATCGGTCATTAGAATCATTTACAAACACCCGTCACGCAGATAAAGTCATTATATAAGCAGTCGACATTACGACGGTTTGCGAAATGTAAAAAACCTTTCTGAACTTTTCGAATCCAGGTCACATGAAAATAAATCGCGACATGTTCAAATCATTATTGTCCAAAATATCTTTATAAATTTTAGAGCAGTGATCTTAGAAGACATAAAAAATGAACTTCTTACAATTTAATATTATTCTTCCGGTGTACCCTGCATGAAGACCCCAATTCAATTCACAAACACGTGTATACGTTATCGGCATTGTTTTGTCATACAAATATAAAACAAGTGTATAACATCGCCATTGTTGGAGAACCTTGGGTTCGAATAATATGCAGGCATTTGGTATAGTTTGTTGTTTACATAATTTGATAAATGGTTTCAAAAATGTACGTTTAATCTAAAGAAATTGTCAAATACGTAAGAAAACAAAAGCACATGTTCATATTTATTTATATCTTGGTCATCTCACGCTGTGTCGGCAAAGTTCGGGAAGTAAACCCGATGCATAATTAATGAGATGAAAAGGCACGCTACACGATATTAATTATCAATTATTAACACTTCTGTACTTTATATAAACATTCCACCAATCTTATTGTTAATTTAAAGTACATTTCTTTGATTTTAGCAGCTTTAAAACTTGGTCATAATTTTGTCAAAATCGTAGCTACTATCCCTTTAACAATTCACCAAATATTCATGAAAATTGTTGAAAGCGTTTTTGAGTTATTGTCCGAAGTGTTGACAATGGTCGGACAGACAGACGGACGGACAGACAGACTGACAACGGTATAATTTTTATACATCCCATCTAAGACGGGCGTATAGAAATGTACTGTGCTGCTTTAATAATCAGGATTGGGAATTCCAAATGGCCACTAAATGTAAAGAGAGATAACTCGTAAATTAAAAGAATGATTTGCGAATAGACTGCCTTGTTTATATCTTTGTTCTTTGGTCTGGTGGATAGTTGTCTCAATGGCAATCAATCCACATCACCTTATTATTATATTTCATAAAAGTTTGTGATATATGATAATGTATTGACTTTTTGTTTAGTCAAAGGACAGACTTATTTTCTATATAGACTATAAAGTCATATCTACAAATACTTGTATGTGATTGGAAACTTTTTCCTAGGATTACACTTCAATAGACCATGTTGCCGAAACAACTTCCTTTACCTATTTACCTATGTAAATATTTTACGGTGACATATTCATGGAATGGAATTCTGCAGTTCTAAAAAAAAAATTGAAATGGAAAAAAAAAATTAACAGATGTTTTGGTTCAGAATTATAAGGATTAAAAAACATGTTTTGTAGAGGTTATTGATGTGTAAACTGTGCCTCTGACTCACAAACTTTACATTTTATGAGTTTTTCTGCCCAATTTACATAACGGCTAGAAAAATGTGTTTAGACCTTTTATTACACGTATTTTAACCTAATTGATACCCGACATTTTCAGAATACTTATCATACATGTAAAGTCAAAATAAATGAATTATTTTTAATGATTTTTTTTCATTTTTTTTTTTTACATAAATTTACAATATATAACAGTAATTCTGAGATTTTTCTCCTCAGTTCATCAAAACCTCAATCTGAACAAGTCTTGCATTAGTATCTCCTGGGAGTCTGTAGGGTAGCATTCCTGCAAACATGATCAGTGCTTTAGCTTGACCTCTTATATAATTCAGATACTGAAATAAACAAACAAAAAATATGATAATTGATAATGTTTAGCATATTATTTAATACAGCAAGAGAGATAAAATAAAAAAGAATGATTGATTTACATTCATAATTCATGATCAGCTAGTATGTACTTTTCTGAAAGAAAAAAAACTAGTACTAAAACTAAGGTGTCCAGGCAATGAATTTCTAGTGATTTTAAAATTCATAGACACATAAAAATATAACTAATACTGAGTTTGGCTAAAAAAAAATAAGTAAACTGTTCTTGAAGAAAATTAAATTACTGTAATTTTTGGACCTTACAATCAAGGTAAATATTAGTAATATTTGAAAGACATATCAATTATTTAAAAGCAAAATTCATTATGTTTTTATAATACATGTACCTTATTTTTTAGACCTAAATAAAGCCCTTTATGTTATTGCGTTCTTTGCTTTTCTATTGACTTATTGTTTTTGTTTGTCCCCTTGATATCCTCCTCCCCTTTTTAACTTTAATAAATGTAAATGTCTATTAAACAAGGAATTATTTGAATCTGGAATAATTTTGAATTCTGGAAAATTGATAAGAAATCTATGACGAAAACTAACCCAATTAAGGAGGGTTAGCCATGCATGCATGGCTAAAGGGTTTTGTTAACTCATACTGAAATATCAGTGAGAGTAAAATTAACCATAGCCAAGCATGCATTACTAACCCTTTTTAGTTTGGTTAGATTTCATCATACATTTCTTATCAATTTTTAAGAATTCAAAATTATTCCTTGTTTTTATCATTTCATGGTTTTGATATGGATTTTTTTTAAATTTTGGTAAACAATTTGCATCTGCAGGTATAGTTCCATTAAAAATCTGATAAAAAGAAAATAATTTCAGAATTTTTTATCTACACCTGAAGCTTCACTAGTACAAAAAAACTAGAATGATGATAAATTCCTAATCTGCACCTGCTTCTGTAGTGTGCGATAATATAAGATAACATGTCCGAAGGTTTTTTTGTATGGCTAATTTCATGTTCAATGTCTGCACTTAAACTTGTAAATTATAGGTGTAAATTGGTGGTAATTACAGATGTTATGACAGTGTTGCAGCTGAACAATAGAAGAATATTGATGTATGACAGATGTATTCTTACCCCCTTAAAGCAATATCATTAAAAAAAATAACACTTGCAAAAGTCATATTTCATTCAATATTCTGAACTGGCATTTCTAAAAACAGAAGCAATAGCAATTAGATTTATACATGTGGTGTAACAAACAGCTATCATTCCACAATACTGTGATTCAGTTTAAATATTGTATCTATAAAGTTTACAGGACAAAACATATTATTCACTTTCAAATACTTGTTTCTTCTCATGTCAATGAAAGTCTAAGGAATTATTGTGATGCGAAAAATCTTAATACATAGATCTCAATTGACACAATTTGAGCAAGAGTTATTTCCCTTTTGTCGCATGTTGGAGGTCAACATGCACAAATTCCTTCATAAATCAGCCAAATTCAACAAGTTATACTAACTGCAAGACTTCAGAACTAGAGGCTCTAAAGAGCCTGTGTTGTTCACCTTGGTCTATGTGCATATTAAACAAAGGACACACATTATAGACAAGAATAGAATTCATGACAAAATTCTCTGTTTTGGTGATAGTGACTTGTTTGTAGATCTTATTTTACTGAACATTCTTGCTGTTTACAATTATCTTGATCTATAACGAACTTGGCCCAGTAGTTTCAGAGAAAAAGATTTTTGTAAAAATTTACAAAAATTTACGAAAAATTGTGAAAATTGACTTTAAAGGGCAATAACTCTTTATGGGGTCAATTGACAATTTTGGTCATGTTTGACTTATTTGTAAATCTTACTTTGCTGAACAATTTTGTTCTTTACAGTTTATCTCTATCTCTTATAATATTCAAGATAACCAAAAACTGCAAAATTTCCTTAGAATTACCAATTCAGGGGCAACAACCCATCAACGGGTTGTCAGATTTGCTCTAAATGCTTTGGTTTCAGAGATATATGCCAAAAACTGCATTTTACCCCCATGTTCTATTTTTAGCCAAGGCGGCCATCTTGGTTGATGGGCGGGGTCATCGGATATGTTTTTTAAACTAGATACCCTAAGGATGATTTAGGCAGTTTGTACCGCGTTTCAATTTGGTTAGTGAAATAAGAAAAACTACCCCTCCAAAATGGCAGCCAAGAGAAATTACATCATATTGAAACCTTTCTCTTTAAATTGTCTGAAATTGTTTTGAACAAAGAAGAGATCAAGGTCAGGTGACCATATCAGACGGACATGTTTACCTTACATAGAGGACTTTTAGAGGTGTAATACCACCAAATCATAGTACATCATACACAGTTTCATGATGAAAAGGGTAGAAAAAAAAAATTCCCTTAAATTTGACAGTTGTAGATAATTAACCCTGCATTTCTTTGCAGAGAATTTTAAACATATAGTTTCAAATCACCATTCTTTTTTTATTTGGTTGTTTGAAATTTTCACTGTAGTAAAGGACAGGATAAAATTTATTCATGCCAAGTATTTCTTTATTTAAAACAAAGAAAAATTCTGCACATTTTTTTTTAAATGCCAATTTAACAAAGACAAATAGAGGAAAACAATAGTTGTATTACCCCTATTTATTCTGTAAATCAAATTGAGTTTAAATTTTGGATAAATATCCTTCCTCCCCCTTAAACTGGTCATTACACAACTCAGGTCACCTTTTAGAATCACGTTTTCACTTGATAGAGTTGTCAATGAGGTCATTTTTATCTTCTTATTTCTGAGTACAGAAATAGAATGTCTACCGTTCAATTAGCCTGATCATAAGTACAAATGAGATTTTATCAGACAAATATAAAACTTATTAATTAGTGTCTAAAATGACCTTTATTGTTACAACCTTTTTTCCTAGCTCTTGTCAAACAAATATTTCACAGACAAAAAGCTATAGATCAGATATTTTTTATAGTAAGCTTGTTTCCATTACTTTGCACATTATCATGGCATTTTTCCAAATATGGTAGTCCAGCAAAACATTTTTTTTCACTTTAGATGTGCTACATATCTTACATTAATTAAGTATACGAAATTAGCTTGCTTCTTAATTAAATGGAAATAAATGTGTTGAGCTACACATGATTAACTAGTTTTTTAGCCTGACTTTTACTAAGCCATATCAAAGAACATGCTAAAATTGAGTAAAACGAATTTAACAAAAAGCAAGAAACCAGTCAGCATTACTTTGTCAATCTGTTTTTGCATCTTGGCTGTACATAGTAGTATTGGCTGAGGTGTTAGAAATATTTACATGCTTGACAATTTCTTATGAACAACAATATAGATACCATTTTCTTATGAACAACAATTTAGATACCAGTACAGTTTCCTACTAAAACGTTAATGGAATTAAAAAACAATAATTCGTTTGCCCTGCAAGTGTGTCATATGGTAATTTTCCTAGGTGACTGATTTTAGGTAATGTGTATCTGGTGCCATTGAAAAACACTAATGAGTGAAAAAGCGCATAGTATCTGTATTCAGCTTAAAACATTTAATGTCTTTTCAGCAGTTTTCAGTAGTTTATTCGTCTTTTGTGATTTCAAAAATTATCTGCTAATCCTTGCTAATGAGCTCCTTATTAGCATAATAATTGTAAAAATGCCTTAAATGAACGATTCATGGTTACACATAGATACAAAGAATCAAATAAATTAACCATGTATATGAGTTCAAAGGTTAGGTTAAACCCAGATAGACAAACTAGTACACCTTAAAATGGTTCTACTCACCTGTGTAAAATCACACTATTAATAATACAATGTAGTAATAAAAATCAAAAGAAAAAATCTGTGCAGTTTGTCCAGTCATTTTACCTGAAAAATGAGGTCAAGGACAAGATACAGAAATTTCAGATCTGTATAGGACAAGCATTATCAAACTCTTCTTCTTCAGAAAAATTAAGCTTTATTCAAAAAGTAGTTACTTTTCACTGTTCCCATTGCTATGGTGAATAAGCATACTTTACACCTTTCCACTACATATGTATCATCTTCAGCAAAATTCTTCGCAGGGGAGACAAAAAGTGATAAACAGAACGAATGGTTGATTCATTTAGTGCATATAACTAAAAGATGTACATTTTGTATATACATATTATGTATGCAAAATTTATGACATCATGCCCTGCTAACAAGATCACATTTCAATGTTCAGTGAACCATGAAATCTGGGTCAAAACCCTTATTTGGCATATATTCTAAAAATTTCCACATCATAATGAACATCTGTACTAGGTTTCAAGTTGATGTGACCACAACTTCATTGTAAACTACATAAAAACAAAACTTCAACCCTATACATCCTGTCTAATAGACAGACATATGCCCACTACCAACCCTATACAGACCTGTCTAATAGACAGACATATGCCCCCTACCAACCCTATACAGACCTGTCTAATAGACAGACATATGCCCACTACCAACCCTATACAGACCTGTCTAATAGACAGACATATGCCCACTACCAGTACAATTGTAGGCAGGGGACACAAAATTCATCCATATGTAATTGTTTCCGCCTGAAACAGGAACTATACACAGAACAACTGTAATGATTTGAATGCATTGAATATTGATAAACTGGATTGGTACATGTATAAATTAAGGACTCATAACAACTTACAGTTTCCTTTCCACCATCTTCACCTCGGCCAGTCCAGCCAGAATACGGACTCTGTGAAGTTGTTGTTCTGTTAAAATATCAACACATCAAACAATAAAAATTAAAACAAAATATCTGTCTGTAAACATTGCAAAATTCAGTATATACTCATGATTCATTTATTATCAAGGATACTAGATTCTGGGTTTCATGGTTGATAAATTCTACATTAAAGCCTTAAGAAAATTTGTGTTTTGTTAAACAGTTTAATTTGTGGTTAATTTATAACCATGAAGATTAAAACAAGAGAAAAAATAATGAATCAACACTAGGAATTGTAAATTAGTCTTTAGCTTTTAAACAAAATAAACATCACTGAATAGTTAACTGTGTGTCCCTATTCTAATGTGTATGTCAGTTTGTTCTTTTTTTTTTGTGTTTTAACCTAAATGAAATTTAGATTACATATTTCATCATCTTGGTTATCTTATAACTTAATGTCATTTCTAAAGCACACTGGAGATTACTATTTCAGGAGTTGAAAATCAAATTGTGAACTCCAAATGTTCAATTTTAAACTATATTCTTTTTTTCAATTTCTTTGTCAGTGATGTTTATCTTGACACTGGTATGAATAAATGAAAATATAAGGTGCACATTGATGAAACAGCAACCAAACAATACAAATAACAAAAACACAGTCTTTAACTATACAATATGTCAAGCTCTAAATCATCCCAAGTCTACATAAGTAGTAAATGTAAAAACAGAATCCAACATGCATATATCATATTTGTTTTTCGTTTATTGTTTTGTACATAAATCAGGCCTTTGGTTTTCTCCTTTATATTGCCTTACATTTTGTTATGTGAAGGCCTTTGGCAGCATGCTGAATGGGTTTTGCTCATTGTTGAAGGCAGTACGGTGACCTACAATTGCTAACTTATACGTCATTTGGTCTCTGGTGGAGAGTTATCTCATTAGCAATCATACAACATCTAGTTTTTATAAAGAGCTGTCACCAACACCAAATTATCTAAATAACAAACATCAATAGGTCATTATATACCAGTAAGACAACCACTAATAAGTTCCTGGCATGAGACAGGCACATGAGAATGTGGCAGGGTTAGAATAGATTTTTTTTTTATATCTGAACTCTCCTTTTCATTTTTACAGTGATCCTGCCACATCTTAATAACCCTGTCTAGAGTCTGGAATCTTGTCAGTAGTTGTTTTCTGTTCTGCTTAATGACAGATCTTTGATAGTCTACTTTAAATTTATTGATGACTTTTCAAGATTTAGGGCACTAACAAAGTGTATAGACACTGATCTTTTGTTGAAGGTAGCATGATGACTTCTAGACGTCTTATAAAAAAAACAAGATGTGGTATGATTGCCATTGAGACAACTCTCCACAATAGACCAAATGACATAGAAATTAACAACTATAGGTCACCGTTAGGCGTTCAACAATGAGCAAAACCCATACCACATAGTCAGCTATAATAGGCCCAGAAATGACAAAAATATCACAATTCAAACAATAAAACTAACAGCCTGATTTATGTTCAAAATAATGAACGAAAAACAAATATGATATACAGCAACAAAAGACAACCACTGAATTACAGGCTCATGACTCGGGACAGGCACATAAGAATGTGGCGGGGTTAAACTAGTTTGAAAGCTCCAACCATCCCCTAACCTGGGACAGTGGTGTAACAAACTATAATAAACTGCTTTGCTGAGCGCAGCTGGATACGCCCGCAGAGGTCCAACCCTGAACAGTTGGGGCAAAAATGGACACAATATTCAAGCTTGATACAGGTATGAATTTGGATTGTATCAAATATTTGACATATTATAGGTTTCTGAATAAATGTAGTCAAAGAACTTGAAATTGGTTATATGAATTGAATTTATATTCAATTAAAGATTTCTTGCTGTTGTGCAATACACTGTGCTGTTGCGCAATACTTAGTAAATCTGTTGTCAGACTATAAACAATTAAAGTTCAATTAATTCTCAATGTCATATTAGAAATTTATGAAAATGTAAAGGGAGCTTACATCAATAGCTATAAACAATTCACCAAAGTTTCATGAGAATTGCTGACAGCATTTTTGAGTTATTGTCCAAAAACTGGAAAATCCCCCCTTTTCTAATGAATGAAAACCCCATAACTCAGAAATGTAAAATGTAAAATTTATAAAATTCTAAACGGAGCTTACATCAATAGATATAAACAATTCACCAAAGTTTCATAAGAACTGCTGAAAGCATTTTAGATTTTTTATCCAAAAATTGGAAAATCCCCCTTTTTTTATGAATAAAACCCTGTAACTCGGAAACGTAAAATCTAAAATATATAAAAATCGAAAGGGAGCTCATGTCAATAGATATTAACAATTCACCACAATTTCTTGCAAGTTGGTGAAAGCATTCTTGAGTTATTGTCCGAAAAACTGGAAAATCCCCCTTTTTTTGATGAATAAAACCCCATAACTCGGAAACGTAAAATCTAAAATTTATAAAAAACAAAAGGGAGCTCACGTCATTAGATATAAACAAATCACCAAAGTTTTATGCAAATTCATTTAAGCGTTTTTGAGTTAATGTCCGACATGTTGACGACGGAAGGACAGAGGTATACCATAATACGTCCCGTAAACGAGCGTATAAAAATCAGTTGAAAAGGGCTTAACTCATCAGATCGATACATAGCAGAACTACATCTGACAAAAACACAGACCGGATGTGGCAGGGTTCTTATACATCCCCACAACAAAAAAGACACTAAGTACAGATCTGAGAGTACTCGCAGTTTCTGACAGCTAGTTCAAAGCCAATAACAACTAATAAAAAAATCATGCATCTCAGACTAAAATATCGAACAGTACACATCTTGTTTTTTTGTAAGTCATTAGGCTTCTATCTCATTGATGTATACACCATAACTCCTTTTATGCATATTTACCTGAAATTATTTTGATATAAAGTGAGTCTAAAGTTTTAAACTTAAACTTACTTGGCGTTTTTATACTGACTGTGTAGAATGTTCATTGTGGCTAACAAAATATCTGGTAAGCATCTCCTCACCTGCAAGAATGTCAAATAAATAATTTAGTTAAAAGGATGTCCCCAAAAAAACAAAAACAAAAATAATTAAGGGAAATAACTCCTAACATAAATATCATTTTGAATATCAATCTCATTTGATTACAAATTGTAAGGTTTCAATATATTTAAATTTTAATGCAAGGAAACAAATGTTTTCATTTTCAAACCATCAATTTTTCTATTTCCAAGGTCACAAATATGAAATTAAAAGTTGTAACATGTATACCGATTCAACTTGTATTGTATGCCTTTAAGTTCCTTTCTTTATAAGATAAGGCTAATTTTCAAAGCAAACTAGATGATTTTCCATATACTGTTAATACAGAAATTATTGCATACATTTATTATTGTGATTTTTGAAGAATGAACAAAAATGTGAGTTTTAATATTGCGATTTTAAGAAAAGATAAATACAGATATATGTATCAGATATCATAATGCGAGTTCTTGTTATTTCAATACTCAGTTAATTGTAATATTTGCATTATTAAAAACCTCACAATATTTTCTGAATTTACAGTAACTGTTGAACAGTAGTAGCCATCATAGTTAAAATCACACTAGACTCAATTTTATAAGTAGTTCAGAGCAAAAGTATTTTGGCACAAAAAAAAAAACAAACATGTTTCAGGCAGTTGCAGGGACATTTGTTTAAACAAAAGATATGGGTGTGAGAAAAAAACATCTAAAATTATCTGATTTCCTCCTAAAATTCATGAAAAATTTTCCCATTAACAGAAAATCTGTTTCGAAGTGAATTATTTTTTTATATAACTAAGGGATTAAATCTGAGAGTAAGTATGTGAAATACATTAGTATTAATAACACATACTCAGGATTAAACAGTTTACAATTAGTAAGTCTTCCCTTAAAATAACAATTATCAAGCAAGTACTCAAGACTTTGTCTCCGTAAACTTTAAAACATATCTGTGTATCAAAAAATAAAGAAATCAGATAATAATGTATTTCAGGACTTAGATTAAATGCCTTAATGATAATGTTAGATTCAAAATAAAAGCTTATAAATAAATCATTTTTACCTCATCATTATAATGTCTGAAGGCCATAACTTTGGTTTCTACAGCATTCTCAGTCAAGGGAAGTAACTGTAACTGTTTAATCACCTAGGAATAAAATTACAAACTAAAAAGTTCAAATAGAAATATGATGTGTACATGACCTAGGCTGACAATATTATCATAAATTATCTTATATGTGCTTAACACACTGTGGACAGAAAGAATATTATGATGCTAATGCATCAAGTATATGCTCAACATATGGAGATTATTTACTCTCCTCCTAACGATAAATCTGCAATAAATAAGACTATGTAACTTTTAACCTTTACACGTCATAATCCTTCTAACAAGGGTTTAAGCAAGGATTTTGAGGGCTTTAGTGACTTTTGCCTGATAAGAAAATTGAACTTTCTTGGGTAGCAGATAAGCATGACACTAGAAGTACTAAAAGTAGTTATTGCATAGGGTTTAAACATGAGTATTTTCTTTTTCAGTATTTCATTAGTACATATATACAAATAAAAATATAACAATTAAGCTGTATTTCTTCAAAAGATACATATTGTATGTTTTTGTTTTGATTTGTATGTCTCAAAACAGGGACTAATGTGACTAATATAATGTATCTATTTGTCTATGTTCCTGTCCTTATAATTAGCTTACGGTCTGCATATGTTACAGAATAGAGAAAATGTTTTAATATTAAATAAAAAGAATAGAGAAAAATGGGCAAAAATTTAAAGAAAAAAGAATATTGGGTTCTTAAATATACAGAAAAGAGAAAATGTGTATAAAAAATAAAGAATACAGAAAATGATGACCCAGGTCCCCTCCCCAACCCCGTTATTTGCACTATAACTCAAAAGACCTCCTAAACCTATAAGTAGGTATCTCAATACATGTACTAGGAAAAATTATAATTGAGTTATCTTTCTTGTATTAGGGTGTGCTCCTACTCTTCGGAGGATTACACACAGTAGAAGCACATTCAATTAACAACTGCCTGTTTGGTATTCTATATCAAAATTGAGGGTAGGCAAAGACAAAATACATCTGAATTTAACATTTTTTAACAGAATTCAAGAAAAACATTGTGTATTTATAAGTTTATTACGGTTTTAGTCTTTCTGTAAAATATGTTTTCATCATGAAACTACGATAAACGTGTGGTATGAACAATTTCATACGAAATGACAAAATGCTGACTGACCGATTCTATTTGTATTTTTCAAATTTAAGTGACGAAATTGATCAAATACTTTCGTCATTTCGAAAATCGTGTCGTAAATGGCAAAAATGACGAGCACTAGCAAAAACACTGCTTCTAACAAGCGATAGGCTTACAACTTGTTGCATACATTGAATATGGTTTCTTTATCAGGTTAAAAGACAAAGATGAACTTCATTGTATATCAAACCACAAGACATTCCAAATTCAAGCTCCTAATTTCCTTTATTCAATTATTTGTCAAAATACCAAAAATAACAAGATCATGACTTACCGTGAGAGCTTCATCCATACTGCCGTCATGGAAACAATCAAAGAAGGTCAAAAGGTCAAGTAACAAGAAGAATGTACTGGCATTGGATAAGTTCCCTTCAGCTCCTTGTGCTCTGTACCTAAGTGACAAAATATTGACATATAGAATATTAGTATGTACAATAAAACACGTTTTATTTATTTGTAAAGATCAATCAATTAGGGAGAGATTAGGCACCAAACTGATCCTGTAGGGGACTTTTAATGCTGACTTATTGATTGTTTTACAATTTGGTATCATTTAAATAAAACAACACAAATATTACCATGTTTAACCTGGCCACATTCCTCTATGTTCTTGTCCTGACCCATGAGACTGTAGCCATTGGTTGCCATCTGTCATAATTGTTTTTAGTGTTACTACCTTAAATCATACAGCTAATTTTCTCATTTTAAATGTTTCACATTTTGTTCTGCTCCTTTTACAGCTTATTCTTGTTGAAGGCTATACAGAGACCTATTGTTGATTACATAAATGTCATTTGGCGGATAATTGTATCAATGAATTATAATGTCCCCTTTAAACTTATGAACTTCAGCGGATAATGATTTGGTTTAATTTTTCAAAAAACATATTTTTTGTACATCATCTATATAAAGTTTCTTAATTCTGAGATCCTCTAGAGGCTTTAAAGAGCATGTGTTGCTCATCTTGATCTTAGTGCATTTTCAGCAATGTCCACTCTTAGGTGAATAAGATGAATGCTATATAGTTCCCACTCCTAGAGTTGGGGTTTAATAAGTAAGTACATACCTCTCAGCAATACCAAAGGCTAGACTTCTCAACCTATCTCTAGATGACTGTGTAGAACTAGCCTGTGATACAACTTGACTTAGTAACTTGTTCAGTAATTCCAACACTTTGTCATGTTTCTACAATATAATTATTCTTCATATTTAACATAATCAACATTCATCTGAACCACTGTTCATACAAAATTTTCAGTCAAAGAAAAGCAGAAAACATGAAAACAATTGACTCCACAAATGTGACGAGAATATAAGTATCATTATTACCACAGGAATCTAGGTAATTCAAAAACACCTTAGCAGCCTTAGTCAAAATTACCTTAGAAACTTCAGTCATCCTTACCTTATCAACTTGTTTAAATTACCTTAAAGAAAATCACCTTTGCAACCTTGGTCAATATTACCATAGCTACCTTTGCCATTATAACCTTACATATGTAGCAATCTTGGTAATTATTACCTTAGCAACCTTAATAAAAATAACCCCATTCATTATAACCATAGCAACCTTGATCATTATTACCTAAGCAACCTTGGTAATTATTACCGCAGCAACCTAGGTCATTATTACCTTGGTAATTTTAGTCATTATTACCTTAGCATTTTTTGTCATTATAACCTTAGCAACCTTGGCCATTGTTACCTCAGTAATGTATGTCATTATTACCTTAGAAACTTTGGTCATGATTACCTTAGCAACCTTGATCATTATTACCTTAGCAAGGTCATATAATCTGACTGCATCTTCAAATAATCCTTTGGCTTCTGTATCCTTGGCAACTAAGTCTATGATTTTATGTGTATCTCCATGGAATTTATCTATTGCACCAGGCTGTCAAAAAAGTTAAATCAATGAATGGTAATCAAAAAGATTGCAAAATCTTCACCAGAAGATACATGTACCTTAATCTGACTGTTATATTTTTATATATATTTGTTTTGAGTAAAAATTTCTGTGCAAAATTCCTAAAAAAAAATTTAAATATAAATATTGAGTAGACAAAAGACTTTTTTAACAGGAATTTCTTTTAAAATATGTTTTCAAATTTTGCTATTTCAAAGATATTAGGTCTTATTGGTTGGACAGCAGATGTCAAATAATTTATCACTCAGCCTCTGGTACTAATATGCTGCATAAATTCAGTAAATGACTAAGAACAAAATGATCAAACTTATGTTTATCATCTACATTCAATTAACAGTAATGTTCATGATGGCCATATTGGTCAATAGTCTCAATACATAGTATTGCAAGGTAAAGTTGGCTTTGAATTGGTCCAAGTGTTAACATCTTGATATATGAATCAGTCCAAGTGTTAACATATTGATATATGAATCAGTCCAAGTGTTAACATATTGATATATGAATCAAAGTATGTTTTTCTAATAAAATTTAACCAACTTCCCTCATCTGACATACATGTCATAGTCAATCATTTGTTTCGGCTAGGTTTTATTGTACACAGGAGATTTTTATATATTTCCTTGAATTGAACATTCGCTCTGAAACATTGAAAGAAAGCTTCACAAAAGAAAAATTGTGGTAAAATGACTGTTCATAGGAGAGATAAATATTTCCTAAATTGAACATTGACTTTCAAAGATTGAAAGAAAAATTCACCACAGAAAAGTCTTGATAAATAGTGTTTATTGCCAATACTTAAATATATATGTACAAGAGCTTCTCCTTGAGATATTAAAGGAATGAGACATAAGTTAAAGCAGATTTTGACTTGTATAACCTACCAGGATGTAATAATAAAAATAAATTATTAATTCCTGTTTCCAAAGATCCTTAAAAAGGTATAAATGGTAACTATTTAGTTTTTTTTATATAGTAAATGACGTTAATAAAGCAATAGGATGCAAAAAAAAACATATATAATTAAACATCACTGGTAATATTTAATTGATGAAAAGTGAAAAATATTCTGGTAAGTAGAATGGAAATGTTTATTCTATATAACAGATGTAAACCAATATAAAGTCAAAAAGTAATTTAGCAATACCACAATCTTATAAATTACTCATTTATTTTATTAAGTACATTGAAAATTATGTTTTTATAATCAAAAGCATAATAATATATTCTATCTTTAATTCAAAATGGGCCTCTACTATTTTACATGAATTCAAATGGTTAATTTGGTAATAGCAAATACTAATAACTTTAATTAAAGTTATTTTTCAAGAGTCTGATTTGGCTTGGTTTTTTCAGTTTATACAAAATGCAAGATTTAAATTTATATTTTGAAAGGAAATATGCTTAAAGCATGATCATGAGATGTAAAAGTTTCCTAATTTACCAAGATTTTTGGCACAATTTATTTTTTGAAACAGACAAAAAACTTCAGCTATAATTGCTTAAATACATTATCTTGACTCTGGTGAATAGTTGTCTCATTGACAATCATGCCACATCTCCTTAGACTCTGGTGAATAGTTGTCTCATTGACAATCATGCCACATCTCCTTAGACTCTGATGAATAGTTGTCTCATTGACAATCATGCCACATCTCCTTAGACTCTGGTGAATAGTTGTCTCATTGACAATCATGCCACATCTCCTTAGACTCGGGTGAATAGTTGTCTCATTGACAATCATGCCACATCTCCTTAGACTCTGATGAATAGTTGTCTCATTGACAATCATGCCACATCTCCTTAGACTCTGGTGAATAGTTGTCTCATTGACAATCATGCCACATCTCCTTAGACTCTGGTGAATAGTTGTCTCATTGACAATCATGCCACATCTCCTTAGACTCTGGTGAATAGTTGTCTCATTGACAATCATGTCACATCTCCTTAGACTCTGGTGAATAGTTGTCTCATTGACAATCATGTCACATCTCCTTAGACTCTGGTGAATAGTTGTCTCATTGACAATCATGTCACATCTCCTTAGACTCTGGTGAATAGTTGTCTCATTGACAATCATGTCACATCTCCTTAGACTCTGATGAATAGTTGTCTCATTGACAATCATGTCACATCTCCTTAGACTCTGATGAATAGTTGTCTCATTGACAATCATGCCACATCTCCTTAGACTCTGATGAATAGTTGTCTCATTGACAATCATGCCACATCTCCTTAGACTCTGATGAATAGTTGTCTCATTGACAATCATGCCACATCTCCTTATTTTTATTTTCAACAATTGTTGACAAAAAAATATCACATCTATGTCTCATCTTCAGCAACAAATGTTACAAGAAAAACAAAAATCTTGTAATGTGAGTTACAGTAATTGTAAATGAAAGATGTTGAAAGCAATTAAAAAACTTAAATTTGTTAACAAAGTGTTTTAGAGGTAAGTATCATGATAATTTGTATCTAGTATATATGTATTTTTATTATTTTATGGTTTTCAGACAATAAATACAGATTAAAGCCAAAATGAACAAAGAAAAAGTTCAAATGATAAAAAAGAAGGTGGCAATGAACAATGCTTATGTTAACCAGAAAGCTGGAGCCCAGGGAAGTCTTACTACTGCTTTACTTCTATCAAATGTCAGCCTCGTAAAAACATTACAACAAAAAAAGGAATGTTCGCACAACACTGTTTGTATTGCTGGCGTGGTACTTATTTGTTTGTCAATCCTGATACAGATAGTTGTAGGTGTAATGCTTGTTGTTTTAGCTAGACGTGAACAGTACATATCCAAACAAGTAGAAGAGGAAGAAAGAGAAAAGGATGCTTACATTTCTGAAAAAATAAAGGAAGAAATAATGGTAGATGTTTCTTATCAAGATGGTGCAGATGGTGATAAAACTTCATTTGGGATAGACCGTGTTAAAAAAGAAGAGAGAAAAAAAAAGAAAAGAACAATGTACAAATTGAACACAGGTGTGCTCGTATTAACATTTCTGGTTGCCATTATCAATACTATCATTAATGGAATGAATTTTGAAAAATGATTAATTCTTGTAGACTTCTATTTAACTACATATATAGTGAATGTATTGGTTAACTAACCCTTTCATACTGAAATTATCCTTATGGCAACCTTAAGCTGTGTAGCCGAAATTATCTGTAAGGGTACCGAAATTTCTACTTTTAGACAGACTCAATCCAAATAAAAAATTAAAGTGCTTGTGAGCACTGAAGGATAAAGATTGCTTTCATTTTGCAAATTTGTAACATTGAAAAAAGTAACACAAGGAAAATTCAAAACGGAAAGTCCCTTAACAATGGGCAAAATCAAAAGCTCTAACACATCAAACGAATGGAAAACAACTGTCATATTCCTGAATTGGTACAGGCATTACCTTATGTAGAAAATGGTGGATTAAACCATGTTTTAAAGCTAGCTAAAGCTCTCACTTGTATGACAGTCACATAAAATTTCATTATATTGACAACAATGTGTGAACAAAACAAACAGACATAATTGTATTTAGCTAAGCAATTATAAATATGAATTGGAGTTATCTTCTTTTGTTCATGGTTGTACATTTGTAGTTGAAAAAAAATTAAAAAAAATACCCCTCCCTTTTTTTTTTGCTTTTGTGCAATACACTATGCTGTTGCGTAATGACCCCCCTCCACTTTTTTTTTGCAAAAAAAATAATATTTGAAGAATTTTTCTTTTTAATTTCTGAAATCTGAAATGAGAAAAAATTGACCCCCCCCTCCCTTTTTCCCCCCCAAAAAATTCTTTCCTTTGGATTACCTCCCTTACACTGCTTTTAAATTGTCTTAATTGTCCATTAACCAGGAAACCCTTGTTTTTCCCCCTTTTTTGCCCCTAATTCCTAAACGGTTTGAGCCATAACCCCCCAAAGTCAATCCTAACCATCCCTTTGTGGTATGGAAACTTGTGGTATAATTTCAGAGAGATCCATACACCGTTCCACAAGTTATTGTCAGGAAACTAGAAAAATGCTTATTTGGGGCCCTTTTTGGCCCCTAATTCCTAAACTGTTAGGACCATAACCCCCAAAATCAATCCCAACCTTCCTTTTGTGGTTATAAACCATGTGTTTAAATTTCATAGATTTCTATTTAATTATACTAAAGTTATTGTCCGGAAACCAACTGTCTTCGGACGACAACGATGTGATACCAATATAGGACCACAAAATTTTTTGCGGTCGTATAAAAACTGAAGTTATATTATTAAAAGTAGTATATCTAAATCAATGATGCATAAAATACGGGTCAGATTAACTTACTTTTTGTAGAATTTGTTATATTCTCTATAATGAATTCTTACAAGCTATAGGATGGATGTAACTAAGTGTCTGAGATCTGTTCTAAGATTGTACAAGAATATGCATCAATAGGAGATCATGCCCAAGGTCACACTATCATATGTCCATGTTCAGTAAAAAGAGCGTTCCCGCTGACTGAGTGGTCTAAGTAATCCAACTTGTGTATCACTAGCCTGTCAACACTGAGGTTGTGTGTTTGAACCCCACATGTGGCAGGTCTGCTCGACTCCAATCTTAATTGACTAGGATTGTCAGTTTTACTGCTGAAGATCAGTGGTTCTCTCCGGTCACTCCTGCTTCCTCCAACAATAAAAACTAAAAGCCACGAAATAGCCAATAGTGCTGAAAGTGGGGTTCAACATCAATCAACCAATCAATTTAACAGTGAAATTGGGGTCAAAACTGTAATGGTAAATAATTAAAAAAGTTCACTTCACAATGAACATGTGAATTCAGTTGTTTGAAAGTGGATGTAACCACATTTTCAATGTGAACTACCTTTCAAAAATTTAACCTGATACAGTAGACTAACTGACAGAAGGACAAACAGATCAGAAAGCATAATGGACCCCTACTACCTTAGGTGGAGCAGAAAATTTCAAACCAAATTC